CAACAGTTTGACCATATTTTTCTCGCAAATACGATATAAGATGTATTAAATAACCTTCACCTACTTGGGCTAGTTTCGCAGATGTAAGGACATCGCTCAGAATGCCGCGACACATTCGGGTACTTTTTAGGTCCATCTGCGGTAAATTTTAACGGTCCTCCAAGAAAAGAGAGCAAAAAAAAATGGAGAAAATGGCTATAAATCGCTTACTTACACCTAAGTTTCTCTAGCTATTTTCTACCATATGAATTTTGTAGAAGAGGGTTCAAAGAACAAATTAATACCAAAGTTTGCTTTCTGCGGTTTCTATAATCATTATCGAAACTGCTTTGAAAAATGACAAGTTTAGATGCTCTTCAGTATGGAAGATGATCTTCAGGTTGAAAAGTCTAATGAACTATTCGCGAACTTCACAGTCAGCATATGGAAACGTTACTCCTATGTTTCAGGAGGGCTCATGAAAATTTTTTCTGTTTTATGAGGCCTAGAAGTACGATGGTTGAAATACAACTGACAACGATACCTAGCAATATAGACTCTGATGTTCGCGAGCCTGTTAACCCTCTAGCAACAGTTTGACCATATTTTTCTCGCAAATACGATATAAGATGTATTAAAGAATCTTCACCTACTTGGTTTAGTTTCGCAGATGTAAGGAGCCGTATATGTGCATGCCAGGTCGTTCCATGTTACATACATTTCTGCACAATCCTCTGCCGTTCCCAACCAGTTATTAGGTTCGCCAGCTCTCCAAGCTGTGAAGTTTGCACGGGATCCATCTACCCACAGCCAGTGGGACTTATTCGTAGGATCCCTGTACAAACCAATCCAGTATGTAATCCGAATTGTCTTTGGGACAAGTGCTTGATATTCAGCTTGTGAATTGATAGACACAAGATCGGATCCCAATCCTTGACATGCTGCTCTGGCTGAGAGCCAATTGAGTGACGCAGAGGAGAACATGTAGCAGGAACCATTGAGGTAGACCCAGTTGTTCGGACATATCACTAAAGAAACATGAGGGGTAATAAAAAAGGGATAACCTTTTTTTCCTGACTTAACCTGCAGTGGGTTATCGATTAAAACTACTGCTGAAACAAAGGTCAACGTCAGTCGTGTTTATTTACATGTACAGTAATCATTCTAGTCCAACCTTCGCTACCGGCAGTAAATCAAACTGGTAGTGAAACAGGACCACTTTGTTAAATTTGAAAGGGCGAGAGCAGATTTACTGCTCTACAGTTCTTATGATGTTAGTATGGACAATTTGGTATTGGATCAAGTAATAGCCTATCTGATATTGTATTGATATTGTAAGGATAAATTTTGTCTTGGTCGCTCAGGGGGTTTTAAGGGTTAATTGGGGTTAATGTGATGTTCATGACTCTACAGGATAAAATTGAAGAAGGTAAAAGGCCTTCTTGGACAGGGTTTCTGTTAAATCAAAACTTTCGATGGATTTGCCAAGGTCGCTGGTCAGAATTTTTAAAAAATTCGTTTTTTCACTCTTAACTCTAGTCAGAGAAAGCAGCTAAGTTTAATTCGTCGAAAAAAAATTGCAAAATTTTAAAAAGAACGCTAGACATGGCTAAAAGAATGTTTTAGGGCCAGGAACCTGTACCGAAGAGCGAAAGGTTTCAAAATCGGAAAAGCCACCAGCAGAGTGTTGACGTTTTCCATGGGCTTTCGTCCGGGATCTCGATTCTTTTTTGCATATCGCGTCTCGCACCGCACAACAAGGGGAATTTCTGGCTCATTTCGCTTAAAGTTGTGGAATAAGAGTCTTCGTGAAACGGCCAAAAAGAGAATAGTCACGAGAAAGCCCGAGCCGAAGAAATCGAAGTTAAGTTTTTCTTTCTCTTCTTTCTAAGTGTTTCTTTTCTTGCTTTGCCCACTTTTTATTTTGATTTTTCCGCTGAAATTTTTTTTTTTATTAATCCATTGAAATTTCGTTTTTCTTCGGTTCGCCAAACGACCGTTCGCGCGAATTTCAAATGAGTATTTCGTTGTCACAAGACTTGCTTGGGGGTTTGATGTTGCGTTTCACTGGTGGTGGTATGACTGCATTGAGACGCACCTGAAATGAGGTGCGAAGTCTGAATTTCTTTGGAGGCTTATTGTTACTAGAGTCACCTCTACTAAAACGAATTAATAAGGTATGAAGATTTAATGGACTAAAATGAAAATTGGCCAGAATGTTCCTTACATATTAACGCACCAAACTGTGTAAGGCTTTTACGAAGTTCGAAATATTTCAGTCGTGTCGTCCCAGAGCGTGACAACAACCGAAATATTTTCTATGGTCTAACTTCAAAATAGATTTTCTTTACGACCACTAATAATACAAAAAAGGCCTCACGTGCTATGTTAATTAGCCTGTTATCTGCTGTGTGACATAATTCAGTTTGTTTGGAGGTCCGCGGTGACGCGGAGACCAGTAATTCATGACGTATATACATTTTTCCTCATACATGTATCATGAAAATATTTTAATCTCTTCCACGAGTTTCAAATAAATACTGTACCTCATCTCTCTGAAAATGATCATCGTGGATATCAACTGGAATATATAATTCCTTTGTTAACATCCGCTCCAGTCAATAATGTTTATAACTTCTAACTCAGCTGCGAATGATCAATAAGTCCAGCGGCGACAACATTCTTGAAAAGGATTGAAAATCACACCCAAAACTGATGCCTTTTGAGCTCAAGAGTAAAGTAGTAACGGTGTAGACTTCCGCATCTTCCGCAACATGCATGGTCATGTATGAACATCACGAAAACCCATGCATAGCGAGCACACTATTCTCTAGCCTTTACAAATTTAACAAAGCACGGTCCTGTTTCTCCACCAATTTGATCAACAGAATCTCTTCAAACTGAGTTCCCCTATGCAATTCAGTGGAAGATATTGGCAAATGAAGATTCCTTTAACTTGTGCTGACTTACCTTGCGAGGTTCCCCTGAATATCAAGACTGATAATGCTGCGAACAATGCCGACAGCCAGTGAAAGACGGTCATACTAATTTAAGACTGGACCTAGGAACTGTTTTTAAAACAGAAATTCAAGACTGTGACTCCGGCTGTAGAACGACTTCAGTCTCTAAGTCGATAGTTTCCTGATTTCCTAATTTAGACGTAGTTTACGACCTCACTTTTATTTCCTTATGTCAATATTACCAAACAATGAACCTAGGTGCTTTGATCACGCATGAGTAATAAAGCAGTTGACCAGTTCAGTGCAAACTTCAGATATCTCAACACTGCATTTTGCGCTTCAGACATCACAGCAGTCTATTTGTTACGTAAAAATATCAAGCTAGTTCCTTGAGATCTCTTGAGTGTACTTTTTTAAAGAGAATTTGCAGCCTTCATAGGAATGATACTTCCAGTATATTTCTATATGCCACACGTCTGCTTTATATTATCAACCACTTCTAACTAAACGTAGGTACAATAAAAAAAAAGCTCTACGTACGGGAAAAAATGATTATCGAAACATATGAAATCAAAATAGTTCGTAATTTGATAACGAACTTTTCGGTTGACTGGGTTCGTTGTTTGATTGTTTACGCTGCAGTGTACCCGAAGCTCACTTATTTTGTAAAGTCATCACAGAGATTCAGCTGTTCGGGAATTAATGTTGATGATTTCCTGTGATGACTTATTGGACAGGTGGGTTTTGATCACGTAGTACTGTAAAATATGCCGGGGACTGACACTGTACAAGCTTCGCCTCCTTGACTCATGTTGTATCGTACTGTATGAAGCTTGAACTTAAAACAACTTTTAAAATGCCCTGAGCTTTTTAAAGAAATATTTAAATGGAAAAGAAACAGCGCATTTACGTTTACTTGCGGCTAAGAATTTCACTTTTGGTAGGAAGCTTGTCAAAACATGAAAATACTAATCAAAATCGCTTTCTGTTCTGTGCGCATAGACCTGACAGTCTTTGCACAAGAACATGAAATATCTGAAGTAACCTGAACACTTAAAAAAATGTTCCTAAAATTTCAGAGGACATTGTGAAGGGTTCTTACACAACCTCCACTTCGATGATCTTCTGTCCAAAATAATAAAGGCTGATAGTTTCGAAAGAAACTGTTTGGGGCTGCGTCGGTGGGAGTAACGAAATAATTTGGATATATCAACAAAGTTGAAATGGTAAATTGGCCACCGTAACGATTACAAAAGCTGACGTTTCGAGCGTTAGCCCTTCGTCGGAACGAATAGAGGAATTGTGGGTTGTGTGTGCTTTTAAAGGCAGAAAATGGAGCTTTTTATTCCACTAATTTATTCGTGTTTTTCTCGTTGCCATGTTCCCACCAATAACGTAGCTCCATTTTCTGCCTTTAAAAGCACACACAACTCACAATTCCTCTATTCGCTCCGACGAAGGGCTAACGCTCGAAACGTCGGCTTTTGTAATCGTTACGGTGGCCAATTTACCATTTCAACTTTGTTGATGTATCCAAATTATTCTGTCCAAAATAGGTGGTTTTGTGAAAAGACGGTCATTTACAAGAACTATCCTCTGTTTAAAGCCGGAAGTTGAAAGAATTTTCCATGTCGTTCATACCACAGATCTTGTGTCTGTAGTCAAGAGTGTTACGCTGAAACTCGTGCTTTCCGGCATATTATATTTGGTTGATGTCTAAGCGCGTCAAAAATCAATTATATTATCCATCTCTAAAGCCATCCCTCGCTTTAATTTCAGCCCGATTAAAATGTACGCTATAAAAAAGGACGAGAGCTAAGTTTCTTAGAATAGCTTGTTTTACTGAAACTGAGAAGATTAATCAGTCTGTCTTATCCAGACACTGAAAATGATTTTCAAGCTAAATTTAACCAGAGGAGACTATCAAATGTCAGACCGCCCATAATTTTAAATTCCAAACAGAATTAGTGCCAACATTGCAGCCTTAGCAAGCTCTTTAATTATTAGTTTCTTGAGGCAAAAAATAAATTCACAAAAATTGTAATAATAGTAGCTCATCATACAACTAAATTTTTGTACTAAGACAGGACTACTTTCCAAACGTACGTTTTGAGAACGTGCTGGATCCGTTGTTAGCCAAAATAGTCAGTATCTTTAACGTAACGGCTCGCATGGAGGATGACTTAAAACTGCCTGCACTCTCTTGCCTTCGGTTTATCTACGAATTAAAAATTTTGGACATATGGGCCCAGTTGTTCATAGGCCGATTAGCTCTAACCCAGGGTTAAATTTTAATCCAGTTTTCTAAATTTCTCTAATCAAAAGCCATTTTGGGATAATTTTCCTAGTTCTTTTTTTGGACATTCAATCATCAAATTGTAGACAAATGCAATTAAGCTGAATTTTCTTTCAGAGCTTTCAGATCTGAAATCAAATTTCACACTAACCCTGGGTTATCTTAACACACCTTTGAACAACTCGGCCCTGGATTCTTGAAATGTCATTTCTTTCTTTAGCAAGGCACAAAATTGACTCTTCTGACTTTATTTTGAATAACAGATTGAAAGGAGTGACAGAAAGATTTATATTACTTGGTGAGTTATGTCACAGTTTTCCGTTAGGCTTTTTTATGCTTCAGTCGAATTTAGAACCAACATGATAAATGTTTTATTCATGCACGTTGATAAAACCCGGACTGTTAAAATTTGAGACTTAGGATCACTCCCCACACAGAGGCTCTTTTGTAAGTACCGTATTGCTGAACGCGATAAGGGCAGGTGCAAATCAACTTTGATAGGCATCTGCACTCCAGAGAGCCTTTGCCGAAAGGAGAGAGACTGGTCTCAAACAGTTTTAGTGCCTGTCAGGTAACCTTTGTTTAGCGAGGATCGATCGAAAAAGAATGTCTCCTAGTAATACTTGGGGAGTAACCTCGTTCCCAAAGCCTTTTCCGCCCCACCCCCATCTAAGGGAAAAGGCCCTAGGAACGAGGTTGCTAGGGGATCAGTCATTATTTATTGCCGGGGTGGGGGAGGGAAGGAAGATTTTGAGGGGATCACGTAGTTTTCAGGGGAACAGAGAGGGAGGATGATTCATCGCCAACAGAGTAAAAAGGGTGGACTGTAGAAAATTGACTGCCAATGGACTGCCATTTAGGAGGGGGGTAATCATAGGGATATTGCAGAGCATTATGGGAGATCAGGTGAATTTTATTGTAACACAACAAAAATGTTCCAACCGTTAACCCCCCCCCCCTCTATTCTCAGGTGATGTATAATGACCAGTCCCTAGATCATGAGTTATTTTGATATTTTTTAACCGTGATTATCGGTAGTCCACGCTTTCTTTTAACTTCCTGCTATAGAATAAAAGGAACGGAATAAACTGATGATAACGAAGTAAATTTCACCGACCATTTTCGTTAATTCGCTACCTGATTCAAAAAAACCCGCTTTTTTAGGAGCCAAAAATCATTCTAAAGCGATGACCAAGGTAGTCACTTCATAATTCAATACTTGCACTCGTGTGCCGTTGGACCCAGCGGTTCATAGCGGCTAAGGGTGCTGTCTCAGTCAAGTACTTGACTCAGGAAAAGAAAATCCACTATGATATAGAATAAATCACGGTTTCGACAGAAAAGGAGTCTGTTCTGCCATAAGAGACAAGTTAAACGATTTGGAGACAAACTGGCAAAGGTGGGGGCAAACTCGTTTACCGCGTTAAGGGGCGAAAGTGGTTGGGACAAACTTGCAATGGGGCGAATTGTCCAATAACCCGATCACAAGTACTGCTCTTAAAGCGAGGAAAATACATGCCTTGATCAAAATACTTTTCATTCCGCGTATAGATCTTTTGCAGTTCAGTTTACCGAATGAAAATATTTCCGTGTGGGTTCGCCACACCTTTCAAATGATTTGCATGATTCTTTCCACATGGGTCATGCGTTGGCCAACTCCCATTTACGTTACCATCAAAGAAATAATAAAGAGAGCTGCCGGAAAGATAGATTCCATTACCATGTAACGCTACTGAGTTTGGCACTACACCGGAACACTGGTCAGAGACCTGTTTAACCAGTTTACAGGATAGTGTCCCCTGCTTCTGAATTACTATGCTACCAGTGCCTTCCTTGCATGCAATCCAGTTGTTGATGTTGCTCTTGATCAGGGTTTCTTCACCAATACTGCGCCACAAACCAAAGTTCATGGCCTCATAATGCGTCTCACTCAAAGGAACTGTTGTGGACACTCGAACTGTAGCGGTACTAGCCGACCATGACGGACGCGGCGTGACAGCATTTGCTGAACTCCTGAAACTTGAATAATCTGTAAAGGTGTAACTCCAAACTAGTGTCCAGCCTCCTCCATCTGTCTGTTGATCGCAGTAAGCCTGGAAGGCGTTACCATGGGAACCACCATCCGGGTCTATCCAGTAGACACCTGATTCGGCTGAAGGAACTTTCTGTTTCAGCTCTTTACAGTTCAACACAGCGAATTCTTTGGACAATCCTGCAGAGACAATTTGAATTACGAAGATGTATTTACTGACATCTCTAACCCTCCTGGCATCGACTGAAAAAGCTCAATTATGCGACGGAAGTGTCTTTCCCGTCTCCTGCATCTATTAATTAGATAATTTGGTTAGGCAGGGGACGTTAAAGAACCCACTCACGAGATTACTGTGATGTGGTCTGGCCTGTTTACTGGGAATTGGGGGGAGGGGGCATCTTCAAATAAGTTTCCTTCGATTGTTTGTAAACTGCTGATGCAGTCTGGCCAAAGTCCCCCGAACAGTGTTGTGATGCGCATTTGATCATATCAACATGTTAATTTGCGCAATATAAATATTAAATTATTATTATTATTATTTTTATTTTTATTGGTTTGCTGATAACCAACACGAAACATAGCCTCGAGCAAACGCGACACGTTATAACAGCTCATAAATATGGCTTATAATTTATTACCTAAATTGCTTGGTTCAGCCATTTGATATTTCCCTTCAGTCAGGCGCGTGATAATCTCTCTCGTACAGAGCAATGAAGTTTTGTGAAGATAAATTGTTCCATTTTGGTCCATTTCAAGCACTTTGAATCTTGGCTGATCCTGCCCTCCACTGAGGAAATAAAGAAAAACTCTCATTACAACCAACGGTTTTCACTAAGTGATGCAGTATTTTCAGCGCTCACGTTAAAGGAAATCAATTGTCTCAGGCATAGTGTAGGCAATTAAAAAGAATTTGAAAATTGAAAATTTTAAAAAAGCTTTGAAAAATCAATTTAGGCTTCGACATAGCCTCTGCCTCCAAGAAAACCCGTCGGTGTTATTAACAGTTTAATAAAGGAACCACACTTTCAGAGAGGGGCAACTTCCTAAATTCTGTTTCCCAATCAAATAGGGAATTTTATCACAAATAGCCAAATTCATGATCAATGGTAGAAAATAGGTATATTGCCTTACCTTGCTGTTTGGAAAGTTATGGATAACAGGGAAAGTAAGGTGAAAATGATGTGCAGGAAGCAAGTGTTCATTGTGTGACTTTGACTCCGAAACGTTAACGTTTTTATAGACTGACTGCGTTCGGCGAATTCGAAGCCGTATAACTTGTGCAATGAACCTCCGCTCGTTGAAGTGATTTTTACGAGTTTCCAACAGCGCGAAGAGCTTAGTGTTTGTCAATATTATCATTCAGCAATAAAAGGATGTTGATCGAGTTACAAGCTTAGGCAAATCTGGAAACGTGCCGTGGCACTCCTTTTCTCACGCCGTAATACGCGAACTCGTGCAAGTACAGCTGTATGTCATGCGATGAACTGCGCCCGGGGTGTTAGGAAACCGAGTAACACAGTAGCAGAATTACGAGAAAACGAGTACGGTTTATATTGACTCAGCTATGTTGGAATTACTAAAGGGCTTTTCACAGTAAATTTTTCATGTTTGGTATTAACTAGGACCTCGGAGTGGTCACGTGCAAGAAACCGGAAGAAAGGTTATTATTTCAACAACAGAGTGTTTCTATCGATAAACCGTACTCGTTTTCTCATAATTCTGCTACTGTGTTACTCGGTTTCCTAACTAGGACCTTGGAGTGGTTACGTGCAGGTTATTATTTGAACAATAGAGTGTTTCTGTCGAGGAACTATCGGCTCATAGTTGCCCCGCGGAAACTTGATGTTCTTAAAACAAATATGCGATAGTTCCTCGACAGAAACACTCTATTGTTTAATTAGAACGCCACGGAGCATTGTGGCCTCAGAGGAGGGGAAAAGGGTATTCTGCAAGCTTCCGTTATCGAAGATTAAAGGGATAAACCCTAAAGAAAAACAGGAACTTAAGCCGGAAATATGATCTGCTTCTTGTTGATGGAAACGGATTGTCCATTAAAAAATTTCGTCTCCGCTGCTGGCCGTCATTTTAGAAAAATGCCCAGGTAAAATTTTTCTCTTCATGTCATAGAATTATGAAAATCTGCCCCTCGCAAGCGCAAAAATTTCCTCAGCAAGCGATGAAGATGGACGATTTTAAACGATGGATTTGAAAGAAGATTCATTCTCAGTAATGGCCATTATTACCCGTATTAACAAGATATGGTGTTGCAAAGACCTATCCTTTGTTCTTTCGCAATGAATCTTGTAATCAATCACCATTTCACCTTTGAGGTGAAAAAGCAAATCTTCTAAAGAAAATTGTCTGGAATGACAAGAAGGTTCCTAACGAGCCAGAGCCGTCAAAAATCCACCGAAAGAATCCGAAATGGGACAAAAGCGTCCGAAAACAGACCGAAGCATCCGAGATCGGACGCAAGCCTTCGAAAACCGACGGAAAGGTCCTAAATCGGACAGATGCGTCCACATAAAAAACGGTTCGCATCAGTATCGACGGAACTGCTGTGTGAAATCAGAGAGCAATTTGTCTCGTTCATTCGCAATAGTCATTCCTTCGCTGCTGTTATTATTTACTGTCCATCCTTCTTTATGGATTTTACTTTTTTATTATTATTATTTTTCGTCAATTTCACCGGAAAGGAACTGGCTTTTTTGTTTCCATAAGTTTCTTGATTTTGAAATTTTGTAATCAGCTTCCCGCCCCTCCTTGTGAGCCTCTAGGCTACCACGAAACAAAGAGTCCGAAAGAAAGAAAGATAAGTTATTACTGAAAGGCAAATCCACAAATCTCCACGCTTATCAGACTTCCATTTCTGTCGTCAAATGACGACTTCCAATGCACGTCACGTGACTCACGACGACTCCCCCTACTGGAAAGTGCATTTGATCCATTTAACACCGGGAGACTCCACTCCCTGAATATATATTTGTTAAGTCATGTGAATTGTAGCAAAGTTTTGAAGGATGTAAATGAGGAAACTGCATCAGTTTCGTCGCGTCTTGGTTACCGAGGCCTCTTGAAGAAACGAAAAATGGCTGTCGAGAGACGATTGGCTCGCTTTCGAGCGTCAGCCCTTCGTCAGAGCCAATGGGAAACTAGTGCTCAATGCTTTGCGTGTATATCCCTTTGACTCCTAAGATCTGATTGTTAATTCTCCTTTGTTGCTGCTACATATTTCCTTGTAAATTAGTTACGAGAATTTGGTGTTAGATCAAGATAACATTGTTAACCTGATAATTTTCAGTATTCTCATAACCTGTTTGCTGGATAATGCATGGATATTACAGGGAGAAGTTTCATGTTAATCACTTCTGGGAGTTGAAGGGTTAGTTCTTAGAGAAAAGGCCATTACTTCAGATATTGCTGCCTCCTCGCCCTTTGGAGATTTTTCTGAGTCAATTAATATCTAAGAAAAGTAGAAACCCGGCTGATTTCCAGGACGTACCTGAATCGTAGAAGCGTGATAAAAAGGGGATGACGGAAAGGAATCATGAAGAGAAGGGAACGAGTCTCCTAAATTTTTTTTCACCAGGCTCAAGTTGTACTTGAGCAGAGTACTTTGAAAGAATAATTAGAGTTCAAAAAGAATAACGGTAAAGACTGACTCGCAATAAAGTAATCATTAACCATGTTTATTTAATAACAGTTGCTTTATTCCAAGGGCTTAGTTATTTGATATCAAGGGTGGAATACAACTTCCTATCATATCAACCACCTTCGTATGCTAGCCTTTCCATCTGACTATGACCTTTTTCTCATCCTTTGCACCTTTTTTGTCCAAAGGGCCTGGGTTCCTTAGAGTTTTCAGAAGATTAAGCATTGTAAAGTTTCAGAATTTCCTACCACAATGAACATAACGTTGTATTACATGGACCACAAAAAGACAGGTTTTACCTGCCAAGGGCACAGGTCAAAGCCACATGAATGTTTTGTGGGCACAAGAGTCAAGATCTTTAGGTCAGAGGGTGATAAGTTAGATGTCTATCAAACATATTTGTCTTTTGCAATGTCCTCCATAAGGTCTGTTGGTGAAAAATCTTCCATCATCTCCTCCTCCACATTTTCTAGTGACCATTCATGACAGACAATCTCCAGTGCCTCCCACTCAGCCTGTGATGAAACACACAGAATTAAGTTCTTTAGCAATAACCTGTACTCAGGGGTTTCATTTCAAAATTACAAGTATGATCTGAACTAAGGTGGCTAAATTCATTTGAATTATGCTTGCATGACTAGCATGTAGTGTTACAAAACAACACACCCTTCTATGTTCCCCTCCAAAAATGTGAAATTTGGAACACTCTGAGAAGCAATCTCCAGTATTCTGGAGCATATCTGAGTAACTCTTATGAGCCAGACATTGATGTTAGAAAATTCATATCAAGAATACTTGATTTCTGTCTTTGATCACAATTCAAAATGTAAAAATAGCCAACACCAAATGGTTTCAAAGCCAGCAAATTTCTGCTTCTAATAAACGACAACCCAAGTACCTGGTATTCTTGCAAAAATTTAGTATAGCTAAACAAAAAAAAAAATAAAAATGATGCCTCCACATCTTTAACCTGGACTCTTAGATGGAGAGTCTTGTGTACTAGCCATTTGGCCAACACACCCCCATAAACTGCTCATAAGGGCCAGTTCTATCACTGAAGATGGCAATACACTGTACTTGTGATGAAAGAGTGGTTATTTCAAACCTTAAATGCCTTGCTTGGATCTTGTGGCATCTGCATTTGCATCTGCATCTGTTCCTGCATGACACGAGTCTGGTCTGCAGCTAAAAGTGGATGTGACGATTAGTGAAGCACAAATATTCCATGTATTTGTAATCACTTGCATTTTATGTTGGAGTGTGGTAAATGTGACATACAATTACCAAGTGTAAATAATTAAAAATGCAACTTTAGATAATTCCCTGCTAAGCTAATCAGCTTGAAAATATGATTGAAAATCAGAAAGAAATGACTATGCAATTAATCAATATCAGTATTGGTGTTATCCATCAACAATGACCACTAATTGACAGCCACAAGCAAAATTGCCTATCTTTCACTGAT